AACTAAACATACTATACGTACTCCGATCATGTTGGAAGTTATTATCTAATTTCTCTCTTTTTTTTTGGACAGGTAGAAACTAGAAATTATTAAAATCTTAGAAAAAAAATAGAGTTACGTGCGGGTATGATTCTGTAAGCAATAAGCATTAATCATATATTTTCTGACTTTATCTATAGACAAGTGCCGCCCATTGTTTTCAAAGACTTGGAAATTTCATTGCCTATAGGCTTTACCTATCATATCCATTTCATCTCATATATATTGAATTGATAATTTTACTCTTCTTTGTCTCCTCTATTTTCTTCCTTAGGAGAACTTTAAATTTTTTTTTCTTAAAAAAAAAAAAAGCAACTCCTAGAAGAACTACGATTTTTTTTGGTATTATGATAAACTTATATTAGTGTAAATGTTTATGATAAACTTATACCAATTTTTAACTACTTATTTAAAAATTTTAATGATTAATACAATACTTAAATTTCTAAAATAATCCCTTAAATTTTAAAATATGTAATTAAAAATTAGCATAAACATTTATTAAATTTATAGCGATATAAATTGATGTTTACTCTTTAAAAGAACTATGAATCTTATGGTGATTAGCCCTATATTTTTCTAAGCCCTAGCTAATATATTGTCCTGGTTAAAATATGAGAGATACCGTCATATATGTAGTACGTGTAGGTTCATTATAATATAAGACACTCATTTGCCAATTTACTCATCTTCTAAAAATTGTTATTTGTTGTAAAAGCTAAATTTAGTCAAATGCTTTAAAAAAATAATAATAATCATTTGCTAAAAGTACGGTAAGTTGAAGCCCCAAACTTATTGCTTCTAAAATACATTTTTTGTTGTTAAGTTTCTAAATTTAATATATTTAATTAATTTCTAAAGTTTTATGATATTTTACATGAATTCATAATTCAATATTTTTATACAATATGTATTCAAATAAAAGTTCAATAAAAGGTACAATTGTACCTGGATTTTATGATTCGATAGTTATAAGTCTTATGGTAAAATATGGTTAGAATTCGAATTTCTTCTCTCCCAAATTATAATTTGTTCAAAAAAATAATAGAAGATACAATTAAACCAAACATACTCTTATACTCTTAATTAGTGAAATAAAAGTTCATGATTTCTCCTAAGATTGTCCTTTTTAGAAAGGGGATGTTTGGTCTATTATAAGTTATATAAGAACCAATAATAAAAAAAATGGATTAATATCAAAATTCCAAAGGATTCCTTTGAGTATTGATTGATGATGGGAACAAAATATGAAATTAAAAAAAACACAGTGCTGAAAATGTTCCTTTCTGATCACATGGGATTTTCAGCGATGTTGAAGAACAAGACAAAACATGCAAGGACACTTTGTATGTCTGTAGTAAAAGGTTTGTTTTAGATATGTTCAAGAAAATCTAAGAGGTTGTTTGTTTGTTTGTTTTTTTATATTTTAAGATAATAATTGGTATGTCGGTAGTTTAATATATTTTATAATATATTTATTAAAAAATTGTTATTTTTAAATTTAAATTTAAATTTAAGACAATAAAATTTTTAATTGTAAAATTAAATAGTTAAATTGATGAATGATAGTTAATGTATTGAATTGAAAGATATATATATTTTTTTGTTTTTGAATAAGAAATATGGATGAAGTAATTATTACATTCTTACTTATTAATTTTTTTTTATTTTAACTAATTATTATACTATTTATTTCATTTAAAAAATACAAAATGAAAAAAAAATTACAATGTAAAGATTTATAATGGTCGATTAAACTAAATAAATATAATATTAACTATTAAAGTGGGATAACAATCGCACCTGAAAAATGACTGGGAAGAAACGACCATTTCTAATGGACATATTCAAGGAAATTTTATTGATTTAGGTGCAAACACTACAAGAAATGAGATTTTTAGTGACAAAAAATTATGATGAGTATTGAAATTAATACTATAATTCATTTAATTTGTGACAGAACTTGTAAATTGATCATAAATGTAAGTATATTTAATAATGATGAAAAAAATTTATTATTAAAAAAATATTTCATTACTGAAAAATGGTCATAAATAAAAAATAAATTTGTAACAATAAAAATCATCACTATAACCCATCCAAATTAAGACAAATTTCAAATATTAATCACATATACTTTATACATTCAATGATGATCAAATAATTCATCACTAAAAATATATTTCATCATTAAAAATTGTCACAAAAAAAATACATACTTATGATAATAAAAATTATCACTACAATCCAATCTTATTTAAGTTTTCTCTAATCAACACATCCCACGTTGGTAAAACACACATAAGATGATAAGGTTTTGTACTATAAATATAT